AAAGTATAGTTGTTATATCTTCTTCCCCACCCCCCCCCCCGGTTTTTTTTGTGTGTGTATGTGGGTGAATTAATTTGTTTATTTTTTAGCTCCCACCAATGAGTGAGAACATGTGGTATTTCTTTTTCTCTGCCTGACTCGTTTCACTCAATATTATTCTCTCAAGGTCCATCCATGTTGTTGCAAATGGCAGTATTTCATTCGTTTTTATAGCTGAGTAGTATTCCATTGTGTAGATATACCACATTTTCCGTATCCACTCATCCGATGATGGACATTTGGGTTGATTCCAGCTCTTGGCTATTGTGAAGAGTGCTGCAATGAACATTGGGAAACAGGTATACCTTCGACTTGATGATTTCCATTCCTTTGGGTATATTCCCAGTAGTGGGATAGCTGGATCGTATGGTAGATCTATCTTCAGCTGTTTGAGGAACCTCCAAACCATTTTCCATAGGGGTTGCACCATTTTGCATTCCCACCAACAATGTATGAGAGTTCCTTTTTCTCCGCAACCACGCCAGCATTTATCTTTCAGCGTCTCTTGGATTTTGGCCATCCTAACTGGGGTGAGGTGGTATCTCAGTGTGGTTTTGATTTGCATTTCGCGGATGCTGAGTGATGTTGAGCATTTTTTCATATGACTGTTGGCCATTTGTATATCTTCTTTAGAGAAATGCCTGCTTAGCTCTTTTGCCCATTTTAATTCTACTTTGCTGTGAACTTTTTGAAGTACCTTAGTACTATGGAAAATGTCAAAATTTATTAATTCTGGACTCAAATACACAAGCACCTGTATTGTCCACTAGTCTGCCTTTAAAAGCACTTCAAAAGTTACTAAAGAGACATTGGGAGACTAGAGATGTAGCCTGTGAGGTCTGCATAAATGCGAAACCATGAAGAACAAGTAGTATAAACTCAAAGACACTCACACCAATCTATTATCATCAAACTGCCAAAGATAAAGACAAAGGGAGAATCTTGAAAGCAGTAAGAGAGAAGAGACTTATCACCTACAAAGGATACTCAGTAAGACTAACATTGCCTTTCTCTTCAGAATTACAAAGAAATGGGGCCGGCCCGTGGCTCACTCGGTAGAGTGCGGTGCTGATGGCACCAAGGCCCCGGGTTCGGATCCCACGTGGGGATGGCCGGTTTGCTCGCTGGCTGAGAGTGGTGCTGACAACACCAAGTCAAGGGTTGAGATCCCCTTACCGGTCATCTTTTTTTTAAAAAAAAAAAAAAAAAAAAGAATTACAAAGAAAGGAAGCTAGTGTAATGACAAATCTAGACTGCTGAAACAAAAAAATTCTCAACCAGGAATTTTAGATCTTCCAAAGTTGTTTTCCAAGAAACTGAGAGATAAGTAAGATTTGCTAAGATAAACAAAAGCTGAGGGGAGTTCATTATCACTAAGTCTGCTCTACAAAAAATGGTAAAGGAAGTCCTTCATATTGCAATGAAAGAACATGAGACAGAACTCAAATCTGTACAAAAAAATAAATATTTCTGATAAGGTAAATAATTAACAAAGAAAAAAGCCACTGTTGTTGTATTTTTAATTTGTAACTCCACTTTTAATGTTCTATAGGATTTAAAAGACAAATGCATACAAATTTATAAAACTATCTTATTGAGGAGCAATACCTAAAGATCTATATTCAGTTAATAACAACATATATAGAGAACATAAATTCTGTATTAGAGCAAAGTTTTTGCATGCAATTGAAGTTAAAGTGGTGCCGATTTGAGCAAATTATTATAAATTGAGAATGACCAATGTAATGCCCATGGTAAGCACAAAGAAAATTTCTAATATATACAAAAAAGGAAAGAAGAAAAAATCAAAAAGGTTTACTACAAAAAATCAGTTAGACACAAAATAAAGCAGTAATGGAGGAAATAAGGGAGGAAATAGTAAAACATACAGAAAAAATAGAAAAATAGTGTAAATAAGTCTCATCAGCAATTTCTTTAAAAGTAAATGGACTAAACTTTACAATCAAAAAGCAGAATTTGGCAGTATAAATTTTAAAAACATAATCCTAGTATATTTTATCTATGAGAGACTCACATTATGTCCATGCAAAAACCTACAAAGGACATCAAAAAAAAAAATCACATACCACAAAAGACATTTGCAATGCATGTGTCTGTAATGGAGACCAATATCCTGATTATATAGAGAATGCATATGAATTAATAAGAAAAAGATAAACAGTTCAGCATAAGTACTAAAAACAGATATTTAATCAAAGGGAAAATAATTGGCCTCAAAATAAGTGAAAAGACCCTCAACTATATAATCATAAGAGATATGCAAGTAAACGAAACAATTTGCAACCCACTAGATTTTCAATATAGACAAAAATGGTGGGCCATGATATGGATCACCAAGAATATTTAATGTATATGTAAATTGGTTCAACCATTTAGAAAAACTGTCTGAAAATACATAGGCACAACCTTATCTGAAAAAAAATTTCTGCTAACTATAAACCTCTCTCTCATTTCAACCAGAAGACATGCATAAAACATTCAAACATATTTATATATGATAACAGAAAAATATATACAAACAAAATTTGCATAATATCAGAAATGATCACAATGTCGAAAAGTCACCATATGTAATGTAGAAATACAGGATATTGGAAATAAATTAATTATGGCTACACCCAACAACATGACTGAATGCTAAAAGTGAAATACTGAGAAAATAATGACAGAAAATTCGTGCATTAAGATTACACTTTGCACAAATTTGAGAAGAAAAAATTTGAAATTGGACAGGAACACATACAAGCATGATTTGACGACATTTAATCCTATTGCCAGTTTCACATGGCAATTTTATAGAATTCAACCTAAAAGAACATCATAGAAAATGATAAATACAGATTTCAGGACAGTGTTTGCTGCTGAGAGAGGACAGGGTGACGTGAGTGGCTGAAATTTGGGTGGATCCTGGGAGGGGGCATTGCTTGACTTTTAACCCCTGAATATATTTATCTGTTTTTATTATGTTACTTTTATTTCAGAACTACAAATAGGTCTCATGAATCGGAGGTCATCAGAATCTCACAAAATACAAATAATGCTCATCACTCACATATCTCTCAAGAGATTCAAACTCATTATTTCTTGGATGAGGATATGGGCAAAGGTCTCAGGTGATTTATCTCTGCCGGGGTTCCATAGACATCAATGGAAGAAGCTCTGCTCCAGAAGACACCTTGGATGCCAGGCAGGGAGCTGTTTTCCAAACGTGGTGCTGAAAATAATGCTACCCTCTCAACCTGCAATGACAGCCACAATGGAAGGTTCTCCAACCAATGCCTTCATTTTCCTGTGAGACCTCTGCTGTTTTAATCCCTCATCCACAGAGATAATTTTCTAATAGCCCACTTTATTAAGCTTCCATTAAAGGTGGAATCTTTAATCTTGCCAACCTCCCTTTTCGCCTGTCTTGGGTTAGACTCAACATCTCTTTCTCAAAGTAAAGTAGTTTTTCACAGAATAACCTTCCCATAATGATACATTAAGAACTTCTGCATAGGAGTCCTAGAATGTAATCAATCCTATAAGACATCAATGATACAATTAATTTTATCCACCTTTGATTCTCTATATGAACTGCATTAGAGATGATTAAAAAACACAGCAGGATGAAATAAATGAAAAAAGCGAAACCTCAGACACATTCTTACAAATAAATCAATGAGAAAATTTCAAAGTAAGTGAGACACCAGGAGAAAATTATCTTTGTCCTACCCAACTAATAATTAGTATTTTTAACATTACTCTGACTGGAAAGGACAGCTGATAAGTATAACAATAAAAGGAAACAAATCTAATTGCTGAAGTAAGTAAAAAAGATACCAAAGACCATAGATTTTCAAGATTATAAATATAGGCAAGATATGAAATCTAATGATACTAGTTAAATTGTATTGAGTAATTATTAGGTACCAGGAATTGTACTGGGAGTAAACTTCTCAACAGGAATTATGCTGCATATGGTCAGTCTAAGGCTCATGCAGTGATAATTTCCCCTACACCAGGAATTAGACTAATAAAGGGGCATATAATCCAATTCTCAGTAATGAGATCGGAGGGGCAATCTTCTGGATGACTTTGTACAATATTAACTACCAATAGACCTAGGGAAGGAGAGCCAGGTTTCTGCCTCTGTACCTCATGTATGGATTCAGTGCCTATATCCATGCAGCAATACGGATCCATGAGAGCAATCACACTAGGATAAAGCCTCCACAGGGAGGAGGAAATAAGTTTTCCTCTACATTTCCTATCTCTGAAATCCTTGTAAAAAAGATAATTATCTTTATTGTTTGTGAACAATTACATACAGATTCTTTCCCTTGTCAGAAACAAAGCCTTACTCACTGATCAAGATAAAATGTTTCACAACAATCTCAAACCCACTGAGATGACCTAATTACAGAAATATTTTAGATGGCAAAACTGAGTGTTATGGATACAGAAATTGCCCTGGACAGACACAGTTTACAAATGACCAGTCTTGAGAACTGCTGAATTGTATTAAAGACCATCTCTCATGTCTCATGATAGCTTAACTCTGGAGTGCAATTCACATGGTCATAACCATGGAATGAGCCAGAATTTACTCTTTGCTGTGAGCACAGCCTTGTTGGGATCCTTTCCTTGACCTATCCAACTTTTTAAATTACTCATCTGAGAACGTTCCATCAAAATCACTACAACCCTTGCCTCAGGTTCAGACTCCATGGACTCCAACCAGAGAAACTGAGCTTAGAGAAAGGAACTCATTTTTGTAAAATCCCAGAGCTATACAAAGAGCGAGAGGAGATCAACAGCCAAGCTAAAATGAACTCACCAGTTCAGCTATCTAGTCACTCTCGAAGAACTTGGGACTGCAGAGTCGGGCATTGTGGCTAACCCAGCATTTCTGTCACTTTGACTCATTCTGAGACCCCAGTCCAAAATGGATGACACGATTAGAGAAGAGAAGGTGTCCTGCCAATGAGCTTCCTCAGGGCATCTTTCATGTCCCTGTTCCTCAGACTGTAGATGAAGGGGTTCATTATGGGAGTAACCACAGTGTAAATTGTCGAAGCCACTGCAGTTTTTCTTGAAGAATCAGAACATGCAGAACTAATGCACACCCCCAAACCTGTCCCGTAGAACAAGGAAACAACTGAGAGGTGAGACCCACAGGTGGAAAAAGCTTTGTACTTTCTGCCTGATGATGGCATTTTCAAAACTGAGGATACTATCTGAGCATAAGAAAAAATGACTCCAGACAGTGGAATACCACCAAATATGCTCATTGCAGAATATATCAGGATATTATTGATGAGGGTATCAGAACAGGCAAGCTTGATGACCTGAACAACTTCGCAGAAGAAGAGGGGGATTTCAACATCTGTGCAGAAAGACAGCTGCAGCAGCATCAGGCTGTGGAGCAGGGAATCCACTATGCAAATGAACAGGGAGACTAGAATCAGCAGACCACAGAGGCGGGGGTTCATGATGACTGTGTACCTCAGTGGGTGACAAATGGCCACATAGCGGTCATAAGCCATGGCTGCAAGAAGAAAACTTTCCAAGCTAGCAAAAGCCAGGACAAAGCAGGTCTGGGTGAGGCAGCCTACGTAAGTGATGCTCTGACTTTGTGCTTGGATATTTAGCAATATCTTTGGGATTGTAGTTGTGCTTAAACAGATATCAGTAAAGGACAGATTGGACAGGAAGAAGTACATGGGTGTGTGCAGGTGAGGGTTACAGAGGACAGCCAGGATGATGAGCAGGTTTCCCAGGACGGTGACCAGGTACATGGACAGGAACAGGCTGAAGAGGAGGGGCTGCAGTTCTGGATCCTCTGTCACCTCCATGAGAAGGAATTCTGAAACACCTGTTTGGTTTCTGGTTTCCATGTTGTTGATGAATCTGATGGAAGAGCTGGAGTGACAAGACAATCAAATATGTATTTTCTAGATCAGCAGGAGGAGCATCATCACAGGCAAACACATCTTGGGAAGGAAAGGAGACTATTATAGACGAATACAAAAGGAATTCTTGCATTTTATATTGTTACTGTAATAAAGACACAAATCTACTATACCAGAGCATCAACAACTGTTAGTTCTAGAAATAGTTAAGGAGTGGTCAGTTTCTGAAAATTATACTTTCTATGTTATTCTGATCATATAAAATATTTTGTAATTTTAAAGAAAAACAGACTAGGGAGGCATCTTGAAGTTTACGTCTGGTATCCTAGAGACCTCAGAGCCAAGACACAGAGATAATACAAATATATGCTACAATCAGGAATGGGAAGATAAGGTTAAATTTACCAAACATTATGCTCCCCACCTACCAGCACAGGATTGCTAGTAAATCTTAGAGAATTTATGAACAGTCATCCTGTTTTGGAAAGTGCAGGTTTCTACTCAGTAGGAAAATGCTCCTGGCCGTAGTAGAGACCGACTACCACATTGATAGATAAGAGGTGCTTGAGTATTGGTGCAAAGGTACAAGGAAACATGTAAAGAGGACAGACAGCTGTGCAGGAGACCCACAGGTGACTTGTCTAATCTTCTGATGTACTCTTTCTACAGCTTCCTCTGGGTGGACCTGTTGTAAAACTCCTGCCCTCTATTCCAAACATTATCTAAGGGATTATTGGTTACCTGGTTGGCATCACAGTGGTATGATGCTTGACATCTCTGTGTGTACCACTCAGAAGGTCTGTCCTTCTGAAGGGCAGAGGGACTGAGTGAGGCACCAGGCTCTGAGAGAGGTGGGATCATCTGTGGGAGGAGGCTTAGGTGGGGCTACTGCTTTGCTGAGGAATGACTGTTGAATGAGGTTGTCACAGGGAAATTGCAGTCTCTGTATCCCCAGAGGCTCAATATCCAAAGCTCCTCATTAGCCAAGGAATTTTATTGTCACTGTGATCCCAGGACACTGCAAATCCTTAAAGACCAAGACTCTAGAAGGGCGGGATTCAGGATGGCTGTTCACTTGACCCTATAAGGCCAGGTGTGCACCACCTACTTTTCTCCACCTGTGCCTGCTCATCCCCAAGTCTCATACCTTGCATGGTTGAACACACAGCGTTCTATAATTAGACATCAGTCTTTTCTTAGGAATGAATGAAGGCAACACTAATTAATGATATCAGGAAGCCTAATACCGATTTAAAGTGTGAAAATACAACTGATATACGGGGATAAGTGATATATTATAAAATATAGGTAAATGACTGTAAAAAATGCAAACAGATGTTTTTCTGAGTCATTGAATGTTTTCTGATCCTTAATGTACACAGTGCAAATTTTACACAGCAGATTTCAGCCTATTCTCTGTGAAAATCCTTTCTCTGATCAACACAGAAAGATCCATTACTACTTTTTTAGGCTTTTACAACCATCTTTGCTAATTTTATCATTATAATTTCAATTTACATTTTTTCTTCACATTAGGAAACTGTGGGTTGAATTTAAGATACTTTATCTTTAAGAGTTGTGGGAAATTACAATGCCATGTTAAAGCATGAGTGTGTAAGCAAAATCTCAGTACATTTAGTTATATCTCATCCATTATTTAATAGGTGGGGATCCAACATTATGTTAATATTAAATTGCATATTAGCATTTTTATGTTAAAATTAAAATTTTTTTCATTTGTAATGTATTCAATATTTTTATGTGCTTATCAAATTATTTTCTGGTTCTGTATGAACTTTATTGATCCACAATTTTCTTAGTATATTGAAGCCCACTTTAGACAGGATGGTGTCCCAATATCATCCTTCACTATCTTAATCCCATTCACATCAAACTCATTAAATAATAGACAAAATGCAAAAGGATATAAAAGTATAAAATATAAGAAGCACATAAAATCTAAACTATTTTAAAATACCAAAAAGGGCTTAAGCGATGCTTTGTTATTGAGAAACGTGAGTGGATACAAAGTTGTGAACACATCCTGGACCCATAACAATGGACTTAGAACAGCTGAAAGTTTCAGAAAGAATCCAGGGAATAACTGAACCAAACTTCTGGCCAGCTGGATGACTGGATTTTTTATATTCTCAATATTGTTAACAATATTGTTAGGAATCAGTCATTACATGGAATTCAAGGCAAGAGATTGGACGATTGGTCAGGGCAACTGTGAACCTGCTGGAGGTGAAAGAGTGAGCACGTGGATAGAACAAAAGATAAAAACTTTACTTTTAAAATGTATTCATTTATTTTTTTAGCTCCCACTTATGAGTGAGTACATGTGGTATTTTTCTTTCTGTGCCTGGTTTATTTTTCTTAACACAATTTTCCTTAAGTTCATCCATGTTACTGCAAATGGCAGAATTTCATTCTTTTTTATGGCAGAGTAGTATGCTATTGTGTAGACATGCCACATTTTCCTCATTCATCCAGTCATCTATTGATGGACATTTAGGTTGCTTCCAACTCTTGGCTATTGTACACACAGCTGCAGTAAACGTGGGAGTGCGAGTGTCCCGTCAACATGATGATACGACAATCAAAATAATTTGGTGAATTTTCAAAAGGAGAGAACAGAACTGAGTTCACCAGAAGTGAGAAAAGATGAGGAGAGAGGATTAGTGAGAAATTAACAAAGGGCCACAAAAAATGATTACATTGTGTAATGTTGAAAAAAATTTATAACTGAAACAACTACTGAACAATATGGTAATGAGGATTAAGGTAATATAAAATTTCTCATTTAAAAAAAGAAAAGAGAAAAGCCTAGCAATTCAAATAGAATCTGAAAATCAGAATTTAAATACCCAGAAAGAAAATGATTTTGAAAAGCTAAATCTGCAAACCCAATAACACAACACAAATTCCTTCAAGATGAAATCACTCTTGTACAATTTCAAGTTAATGCTCTTATCAAAAAGACAAGTGTCAGCATTGGCATGGAGAAAGGGGACGGTAGTCCACTGGTGGTGGGAGTGTGTATTAGTGTAGCCACTGTGGAGAGCAGTGTGGAGGTTCCCGAAGAAGTTAAAAATAAAGCTACCATAGGACCCAGCAATCCCTCTCTGCATATACACCCAGAGGAGATGAAACCACCACTCAGAGAAATACCTACACTCTCTTTTTCAGTGCAGCATTATTCACAACAGCCAAGTGTGCAAACAGCCTAATGTGTCTGTTGACAGAGAAATGGTAAAGAAAATGTGGGAGGTATGTGAGTATATATGAGGGGTCTTCAACAAGTTCATGGAAAGATTCATATTAACTTTTAACTCCATTTTCCACGAACTTTTCAAAGTACCCTGGCACATATAGTGGAATATTATTCAGCCTTAAAAAAGAAGGATATTCTGCCATTTGCAACAACGTACAGACCTAGAGGACATTATGTTAAGTGAAATAAGCCAGACAGAGAAAAATACTACATGATCTCGCTTACATGTGAAATCTTAAAAAAAAACATCAAATACATAGAAACAGAGGTGAATGGTGGTCAGCAGGGGCAGAGTGGCCTGGGAAATAGGGAGATGTAGGTAAAAGATTACAGATTTGCATTTATGGAGGATGAACTATTCCAGAGACATAATGTACACCATGATGACTACTGTTAGTAATACCGTACACCAGACTATGAGGGTAGAGTGTTTTGACCATCAAAAAAAGAAAGGAAAGAAAAAAATGAAAAGAAAAGGATGAAAAGAAAGGTAACTATGTGAGGTAATGGATATAATAATTTGCTTGACTATAGTAATCACTGTGTAGTGTTGTACACCTGAAATTTAGACAATAAATAATAAAATATGTTGCCAAACATATAGTAGGCATTCTACAGAAATAAAATAAAACAAACCTATTGGAACACCGCCCCCCTCAATTTTTTCACACTCTTCATCTCTTTCCTCTCCCCCATGGGACCGTTACTCTAACCTTGGTATTATCCCATGGCACTTTCAATATATTCTTTTGTGATTCTATCAATAAACAATGCTGTCAGTTTGCATCTGAAAATTTTATGTATTGTGTGTGTCATTTTGCAATTGTTTTTTAAGATAATACACCTAGTGACTTCTAAGTCTTAGTACATTTCGTTCTGCTTCCTTATCCTTCACTCCTTCACTATATTCCACTGTCTTACAACCTCACAATTTATTTATAGCTTCTCAGACTTATGGGCATTTGCATCATGTGTGCTTGCACACACACACACGCACACACACATGCACATACGCGCACACACACACACACACACACGCACACGCACAGTTTAAAACAATTCCTGGAGACCCAACAAATTTAAGACTGAGGTTGCCTTTGAAATTGGAAGGAGAGGGATGTCGAATAAAAATAGAATGTCTTTGCTATGCATACTATGTTTTTACTTTGAGAAGAGAACCCTTATGGCAAGTGTCAAATTTACTCTTTACTAATTCTGGAAATAGATAGATGGGCACCTCTCCTGCTATTCTGTACCTTTTAAATATTTCACAGGGAACCAAAGAGACGCTGTGGGACTGGAGATGTAGTCTGTGGGGTCTCCACCTCCCCTGCAAGAGTCTCATAGCCAGGCACCAGGGTCAAGTACAGAGATGACCCTTACAATAGGACATCAAGAACAAGATATGGAACTTTTAACATGCTATAAATTGGTTTAACCACTTAGGATAACACTTGGAAACACCCAAAAGAAAATAAGTTCTCCCGTATACCTGTAATCCCATCTCAACTGCAAAACTCTATCTCTTTACCACCAGAACACACAAACAAGAATATTCAACAGATTTATTCAAAATATCAAAAAATAATTACAAGCAAATAAGATTTCCATCAATATCAGAAAGTATTTCAATT